GTCTATCTCTCACCCAACCCCATAGCACCTTCCTACAGAACCAAAGCCTCTTTTCAAATTTACAATTCCTAACAGGGACTGAGTACCCAGTAAGCAAGGTAGTTAATTGCTTACTGAATAATCTGCCTCTGGTCCATTCTGACTAATGGCTACTTTATGTGTATAAAATAGAACTGCCCCATAAGGTTTCACGGCTGTGACCTAACGGAAACAGATCACTAAGACTGTCTTTCAAGGTGCCTGTGGGTGGGTTTGAACTGCCAATCTGTCAGCTAGTAGTTAAGCATCTAACCCTTTGCCCTACCCAGAGACCTATAAGCAATATAGATAAACAAATAATAATAATAACATTTATATACTGTGTATATATGTGTGTGTGGGTGTATAAATATACGTGTATTCTTACATATATATTGTCAAATATATACACAGTTTTATTCAAATACATATACTCACACACACACAGAGGTAAATCCAACTTCCTATGTGAAATCTCTTCAGATATCAATATACACCAATAAAATTATTGAAAAAAAACTTCATTTGTATTTTTTTGGGGGGAATCTCTTCACTATTTGATATATTCAATATATCAGTATTTCTTAAAGTATCTCTGTATATACTACACTAAAATGTATATGAGACAAAAAATATTATATTTTACCTATCACTATTTTAGGCTATGTAGATTAAATATTTGTTTATTTAGATAACTTTAAATGTCAATACTATCAGCAAGCATTTGGGACTTTTTTTTTAACAATAGAGCAGTTTCTTTTTAGAATTAATGAAAAAAGAAATGCTAAGAAAAGTGAAATCATAGTTTAAAGGGAGGACTGTCCTACATTTTCAGTGAATTATGTCACAATAACTCCTGGACTCTCAGTAGAATGAAAATATTCAAAATTTTTGCTGAATGTGCACTTATTTTCTCCCAGTGAGTTCTTTCTCCCTAAATTACCTACATAATTCTCAGTATCAGTACAGGATGCCAATTACTACTATCAAATTTATTTAATAAAAACAATTTAGACTATCCTTGTTATTTGTGCAAACCAGAAAATCTATCATTACTGGAAGAATTAAAAATCATTCTACTACATTTTTATATAGATAATTTATAAATTATATGTAATCTGGAAATACAAGCAGAATAGAATTATTAGATATCATGTGACTCTTTATATCCAGAGGTTTATCACTCTACAACGCTTAAACCAGTAATTGCCCCTTCGATTTTCCACAGTGACAGCTACACTCCAGTCTGGGGAAATAACTTATCAAAAAGTCAAAGTGGACCTCTTAGTTCATCTCCATTGTCATTTCAGATTTGTTCTTTCTAATACTTTCACCTTCACGGTATGATCCAGACTGATCTTAATTGTTACTGATCATAGAGTTCCTAGCACACACATTGGTAGACCAGTTCAGACATGTTAAACTCTACCTAGATATTTTATTTTCTTTCTTCTTTCCCTACTAAGCAGATTAAATGTTTCTTTGCTTATGTTATTCTTCTTATATATTTCCCCCCACACCTTTAGTTGTTAGCATACTTAATATACTGTCATCCTAAATTTTTGATGGATTTTCTTGATTGTCACTGAGGAAATGTCTCTCTATATTTAACTACTTCAAGTAAGCAACAAAAATTTAGTTTTGTACTCATCTCTCTTGTTTGCTTTTTTGGTTTTAATAAGATTCCCAATCCCAGTGAAGTCTCACTAAAATGAATTCCATTGAAAACACATCATTTTCCTTTTGAGTGCATTTCTTTCCACAGCACTAGTAATGTTTCACAACTCTACCACCTGCAGACTTATGTCTAACTTATTTTAATTAGTATCCTCTAATTGTCGAATACTCCTCAGCTGTCCTGTTGTGAGAACAATTTGTCACTTTCATGAAAATATAAATTGAATTATGTGTTAGATTGAATGGGCTTTAATAGAAACACAGAGTTAAAGTAGCACCCAGGAAAACATAGCTATAGTAATTTCCCCCAAGATAAAGATAATTTTAAGTTTATCCTTAGCTCAAATAGGTTGATTTCCATCATTTACCACCTTACCTCTTTCTACCTAAACTTATAAGCATAACACACACATATATATGTTTTGATTAATATAGATAGATAGAACCAAATATCAATACAACTCTATCATTTGTACTTTATAAATACACTTTATCTTCAAATTCAATACATATATTTCACAGATTAATGATTAAAAAAAAAATGACCAGTAAAACTACATGTTACTACATGTTGTACTGGTTTATTCTTGTAAAAAGTTCTACCTCAACCCTCAATTTGGAGAGTGTCATTAAGCTTCTGTTTTTTTTCCCAGTCCATTTTTAATGGATGTTAAATCTGCTGCCTCAATTGAAGCAAAGCAATAAGACAAATATAATCTAAAGAGATCAAAGCTTTCATCAAAGTTCAAGGCCATAACTCACTGTCCTCTTCATTCACTCTTTTAAAAAGCATCATTAAAAAGATATTTTATTTATTACATTTAAACTTTATAATTCAAAATCAACACTCAAAATAGATTTAAAGTTTGCTTGAAGGCTACTGAAAATTAATCAATTCAGTGACTAGAGGAATAAAAGGGAACATACTATGTCAAATCACATATAAGGCTGTTACAACAATACACAGTATATCTCTGCTATTTTTAAGCATAGTTTACCCATTGACACAGCAAACATAACTCACCTTCATTCCTCTGAGGACTGCCGGTAAGTAGATCAGTAAATGTGTTAGAAATTAATGTGATTGATGCATTACAACTATAAAATACTTCCAAAGTGTGGATCTGTGTAAAAGTGCCATACACACCAGAAATTCAGCCAATTTCCTTATGATGGATCTATGGTAGCCGCATAAGTATTCTAGAAAGTGAGGATAACCATCTGAAATTTATAAATATTCAAACCTTTACTAAAAGCAGCTTGTATGTGAAATTTAAATGACATACAGTACACCAGAAAAAGGCTCCATTCCAAAGTTCTACAAAAAAGAATTGTATTTACAGATGACATGAGCTAATCAAAGACATCTAGTATCGTCTGGAAAACTTAATGGCATGCCATAACTTATTATCACAGTCAATATGCATAACAGAACCCATAATTATTTTTCTAATAATCAAGCCAAAAGCAAAGAAGTAAATGAAGCAATATAAAAATGAAACAGAAAAGACAAAGGAAAATCCCACAAAAACATTTATGCTATAATTGAAATGGCTTGAGAAACCAGTTAAAACCTAAAGTTTTTTTTTTTTTTTTTTTCTTGATTCCAGGCAAGTCTTGGTCATGACTAAAATATCCTCTTGTTTCTGTAGATGCCTCAGACCTTTGCTATTCCTCTAAAACACCCTCCCATTGGAAAAAAGCTTAATTGAAAAGTACAAGAGTTGCAGTGAAGACTCAGGCAATCTGTTCATCAAGGAAACAGCTGGATTCGACGGACACAACAGTCAATGTATCCCACAGTATCTTCTAGGTGGTCACTCTTTGCCTCTAAGTCATGCCTTTGTATTCATAACAGCTGTGGAATGAAACACTGTACACCAAACAAAGCTGACATGCTGTTTCCCTTTCCCTTCACCAACACCAAGCTCCTTGATGGAGGCTTCCAAAATGCAAATACTACCTAGACTTCTCAGATGGATTTGATTTCAAATGAAATTAGTGCCAAACATATATCTTTGATATGCAAAATCACTACACTAGTCAATAATAAAGAATTTTTCTTTTTTCTGGGAGGTTAAAGGATATAGCAGATCCATAAATGTTTGTTTATCTATGCAAAGATGAAGAATTGAGGGAGCATAATTAAGAAGATCAAATAATCAGAAAAATTGGAACCCACAAAATCTTAGGAAAGACTATTATAATCCTCATCTGGAAGTATTTTGGAAGTTTATAGCTAGTGGCTATTAAAAGCACATTTCATCAATAAATTTTCACATGCTGAATATCTTACCAATACAACTTTTAAATAAGAATTTTAAAATATTAAATAGAATGATATACTAAGCCAAGGCTCAGTTTTTACATATTTTAAATGATATTACATATACAATTAACCCTTGGAAATTCATAAAACTTCAATCTACATGATACATAATTTCATTGTATAGATTTGCTACTTTTAAATGTAATTTAAGGTTTATTTGAGCATGCACAATTAAGGGAATACAGTTAGGTAACCAAAACATTGTTGGTAAAAGACTGGTACAAGTGCACATTGCAAGTTTTGTTTGTTGTGGCCCATTTTAACTCATGGGTTTTATGGCTCCTACTCTAAATAAAGTGCTATCTATTTTTAAATAATGAATAATTTGCTCACAAAAGTCAGCAAATGTGTATGTGGACATGAAGAAGTAAATTAAATTACTCTGGCAACATTTGTTTTCCATTCTTAATTATTCCCCATACACACACACACACATTTTGGAGTCCTGGTGGCTAGTGCCTAAGGCATTTAACTTCTAACCAGAGAGTTGGTGGTTCAAACCCACCAGTCACTCTGTGGAAGGAAGACTGGGCAATCTGCTTCCGTAAAGATTTACCATCTGGGAAACCCAAAGGGAGCTACTATGAGTCAGAATCAACTCAACAGTGAGTTTTTTTTTGTTGTTGTTGTTGTTGTTAATACATATATTTATATTCATAATTTGTTGTTGTTAGGTGCCATGGAGTCGGACACAACTCATAGCTACCCCTCCTTGGGTTTCCAAGGTAGTATCACTACAGAAGTAGATTGCCCAACTTTCTTTCCAAGGAATGGCTGGTAGGTTTGAACCACCCGCCTTCTGGTTAGCAGTCAAGTGCTTTAGGCACTATGCTACCAGAGATCCTATATTCATAATAGCAGAAGTAAATGCAAGAGGGTGGCTATAAACCAAATAATTATTTGTCCCATATGATGGTGTTATACTATTTATCTGGCCTTGTCAACCTGCAATCAAAGAGAGGTGCATGTTACTTGCTTCCTAAAGAACTAGATCCTTGACAGCATTTTGGTAAGATAGAAACATGTTGGTGTCTGGAGAGATTCTAGTACCTTCTTGTAGAGAAAAACACAAGTAAAATGGTTAAGTCAAATAGCAACCAAAAATTACATCAATTAACTCTCTCCTGGGATCAATGAAACAAAATGGAAAAAACAAACATGTTCTGTTTTAAACTCTCAGAAAAATGCTGGTGGCAACAGTTTGATTAGTGGTGTATCTGAATATGCTGACCAACAACCAGAAATAGTAATCCAGCTAGTAAAGAGAAAAATATCCCAGCTGGGGCCAAATAAAATGACCAGCCATACAGAACAGAAGGGGTGAAATCCAAGCAGTCTTTCAGCTTCATGTTTTTGTAGCTTTCCATGTCCGCCACTGCCTGGACCCAGATGACATAGAGTATCACTACCAGGGAGAACAAGATGCCTGCCAAAGACAGAGAAAAGGGACATTTAGCCTTTATAAATATATATTTTCCCAAGAAATCTCTAATAGACCTATCATGTGCCTGATAATACACCACTAAAATATAATTCTAGTTGAATCTCCTATGTGCTAACAAAGCCTTTTTTGTATGCTTTATATACATATTGGTGTAGTGCCTAAGGAATTTGACTGCTAACCAGAAGGCTGGAGGTTCAAACCTACCAGCCACTCCTTGGAAGGAAGATGGGGCAACCTACTTCTGTAGTGATACTGCCTCGGAAACCAAAGGAGGGGTTACTATGAGTTCTATCCGACTTGATGGCAGTGTTTTTTTTTTTTTTTTTTTAATTTATCTCTAATTTTCAAAATGTCATGGTGAGACCTATAACAGTCTATAAGAGGAACAGCTGCCATGTATTTACTGAGTCTTACCGTGTACTGAGTATCCAGGTGGGACAAATTATTTGCACTCCACTGCTAACCTAAACATTGGCAGTTCAAACCCATCCAGAAGTACCTCAGAAGACAGTTCCAGAGATCTTTTTCCATTAAGATTGTCCTATGAAAGTGTTCTACTCTTTAACATGTAGACTGTCTATGAGTTGGGATTGAGCCAATGGTAACGACTTTGTTTTTCTCGTTTACCAAGTACCAACGAGTCAATGACCCTCATTGCAGAGTTTGCATTCTAACATTTGTCTATCCTCTATTGTATGTTCAGTTTGTAATGAGAACTCTAAATGTTATTGCTGTTAATAGGTACAAGAACCTAGTGAAACAGGTACTATTATTTTCCTTCATTAAATATGCATAATCACAGTGAGTGGCTTTGAGAGCTGGTTTCAGCTTACCCCTTTCTGACTATTATTATATTATTATAACACAGCTAACTGGTGCTGAAATTGAACATGGCCATGAAAAGAGAACACAAGGTAAATTCTAAACAAGAACAGCAATGCAATGACTGAAATACCATAGTGATATATACGTGATTCTTTAAAATTTGATTATACCCACTGAAGATTGATTACAACATAAAGGAAATACTGTCTTGAAAGAATGAAGAAGGGAGGGTGATGATGATAAAAGATCCTGAGGACTATAAAACCACAGATTTGAGATCAATAGACTAATCAAATAAGAAAAGAAAAAATTCTTAATTACTAACTAGAAGAAAACATCACAATTTTTCAATACTTTCAATGTAGCTATAATTCACCAGATCAAATACATTTTTTGAATTATAAGAATATAGAAAATATTGTAACACTGAACTTTGACCTTAATAGAAAATATGACAGAAGATCTTTGTCAATCCTGAAATTTAACAATACCTTTCATGTCTACTTTTCCAAGAAGCTGCTACTGTTATCACGAAGAGAAAACAATGCCACTGTGCAGAGAGCAGCCAAGTTGATTCTCGAGTTAGTGACAGGTGCCACACACAAACCACACAGAGATTCGAGTTTGTCCCTAAACAAAATATACTTGAGTTCACTTGCTATTTGTCCAAAAGTTCAATTCAAACATGCCAAGGATCTGTTATACTCTGAATTAATGAGCTCAACCGTTAGGTATAAAATCTTCATACTCTAATTGCCAGCATGTCTGAAAAGTAAACACAACCCTGTAACTTGGAGTACAGACTGAGGCATATTGGCAGAAGAGAGCAGCCTTCAAAAGCCCAGTCATCAATCATACTTTTATAATTAATTGTGTTCCTACAGTATTTAGGATGCCCTCTCTCTCTTGAGCCATCAATTTAGTAAAGAATCTTGAGATATAAATATGAAGGAAAAAGGGCTCATAAATACATCTAGATATGTCAGTACCAGAGCTTAAATTCTCATATTCAGAGCAATGCTCTGTAGTTTGTATCATGATTATGAGAAATTTTAAGTGCTTCACTAATAAGAAACATCCTTCAGCCTGTGGACCATAATGTAAATGCAAATGTTGGTGCTCAGATTAGAGTAATGTAACCACTGAACAACTACACTATCACAGAGAAATAGTAAAGTCATAGCTGGCGAGCAAACTCCTTATAAAGCCATATCTCAGATTTTGACAACAATATGGCAATGCCATGTGTTGTCTAGCAACTCTGTGCATTTCAATACATGTTTCTCAACAAATATATACACAATGTTGTCAGTTAATATAAAGGTTTGACTTATCCATTTGCATAATACCATTTGCCTTTATGCAAACACCTTGCAAACCTTTGTTCTTATATGTTAATATGATTTTCATCTTCCATGTAAATCTCTTATGCTTCCAGATATTGTTAGGAAAGAAAGAAAATTGCCTTTGGGAATAACTAATAGCCTAACACACATCTTTTTTTCAAAAGTTGCAAAACCCACTACTGAATTTAAATATATTTTTTTAAATTATACATATATGTATATATATAGCTGTAGTAGGTGATGAGGTAGCTGATTTTGAATAAGGAAGAATTAACTTATATTTAAATATTGCTATTATTTGAAGCAAGTATAAGTTAATTCTTCCAAATTTTTATTATTATTTGCTGTTATTATACTCTGAAGGGAATGAAGAATAGTCATTTCTATCACTATAATCTTTAACTTGTTCACTAATTGAAGATACATTCCATTTAATTTACATCAGATCAATTTATGATTATATCTCACCCATGGGGTGAAATAGTCAGTGCTTCTCTATCCATTAAATTGCCAATGTGTGTGTGTGTGTGTGTGTGTGTGGAGAGAGAGAGAGAAAGAAGGAAAATGAATGAACATGGAAAAAGTATTTATACTGAAACCAATAATTTAGCTGATATGGCTGCCAGAATATGTCACTAGGGCCAACATGAAATATATGGCCAAAAGAAGTCAAGAGACTATTAGATTCAGGTGAATTGAGCAAATAAAATAAATATGTTTAGGCTAGTTGGAGATATTTATTACTGCCAGAATAGGAGTTAAAAATTTGCAAAGGGGCAATTTATAATGAACCTTGTGGTATTCAATTGGAATTTAATATATCAATGTGAATTCATGGTTTTCAATAGATAAATAGATATAGAAATGAATATAGATGTACAAATTGTGTATTTTAAAATACACATGTGTGTATATACCTACAGTGCATATATTTCCTGGGTTTGTGTCCTGAGACGATCTGGGAGAAGTAACATCGAAGTAGCATAGAACACACAGAGTGTCAAGATGTTGGCTTCTAAGCACCATACTCCACTAAGTGGAACCAAGACTTCTCAAAGCAATAGGTGGATCCAGGTCATGGCAGAAAGTACAAGATGAGCCTGGAATAAGTTATTATGCCAGAAAATGAAGATAGGCTCAAAGAAATATAGGGACAATTCAGAAGCCAGATTGAAGGGGGTTCCCCTAGCTAAACCTGAGATGATTTAATCATCAAAACAAATAATGACAGGAGCACATTATATTTCATTGATTAAAATAGAAATTTGTGGGTCCACGTTGATATAAATAAGTGTATAAATAAATGAGAGACAGGAAAGTTTTCCATTACAGTAGAATAATAATTTAAAAATAAAAGAGGAATGGTGGAATTACATATTAACATTTGGTAGTCATTCTAAGTAATAAGTTCAGGCAAGAAACAAAAGTGGATGCTAAAATGAGTGGAATTTAGATGAGAAATAGGATATTTACATAGGCTCAATGTCATTTCCTTATCGTTAATAATATGTACTACATAGAGTGTATGTAGTACACTGGTAGCATAGTGCCTAAGGCATTTGACTGCTAACCAGAAGGCTGGTGGTTCAAACCCACCAGCCACTCCTCGGAAGGTTGTTGTTGTTGTTGTTAAGTGCCATCGAGTCATTTCCGACTCATAGAGATCCCATGCACAGCAGAACGAAACACTGCCCGATCCCACGCCAGCTCCACAATCCCTGCTATACTTGAGTCCATCATTGCAGCCACCGTGTCAATCCATCTCATTGAAGGCCTCCCCCTCTTTCATCGACCCTCCACCCTACCAAGCATGATATCCTTCTCCAGGGAATGGTCCCTTCTGACAACATGACTAAAATAGGTGAGATGAAGTCTGGCCATTCTTGCTTCCAAGGAGCATTCTGGCTGCACTTCCTCCAGGACAGATCTGTTAGTTCTTTTAGCAGTCCATG